GCCACAGCCTACCTGAGTCTTGTTGCTGACCATGTCCATCCCTTTATGACCATAAAACCGTTACTAGCGTGGTGTACCTAATAAAGAGGCCGGTGAGTGTAGTTAGGGTTGGGTTATCCATGTTGTGTTGCTAGGCTCAGACTGCTGGCCCTAAACTCTTGTTAATGTCTCTTTCCTGTCCTCTGTCTTACAGGATGAAGTCAAACTTGTGGACAAGCCTTCACAGGATCTTCCAGGACTATTTACTCCAAGCTTGCACTTGAAACTGAGCTTTTTTGTCAGTGTAGACAAATTTTCTGCCCCCCACCATATCCATCGTTCAGCACTGGTAAAAACACACATCAGGGCTTTTCCCACATGGTGCTTCAGCACCTGGAGAGCCCAGCGAGGGGAGACACTTCCTCCAACGCAGGAGCAGAAGTCTCATAAAAAAGAGACAAACACAGCAGACTGTGTAGTGTTGACAACGCCTTGGCAACACAACAGTCTCCACTTCTCCTCTGCTGTCTCTAGTTTCTGTGAGCTTTTCATTTAAGCTGTGGCCAACTTCAATTTTTATTATGGCAGTTTGCAATTACCCAACCATTTACCAGCCTGCAGTGTTTGGACACCAATGTGAGCTCTGGGCAGAGAGTCAAATCGTCTCTCTGCCAAGAAAACGACAACCGCCATCAAACTTGTTCAAGTCCCAGAGCTTCTAGTCCAAACTAAACCAGCTGGTGGCAAAGCAGAAGCCAAGGTGGTCCTTCCTCTGATTAGAGGATCCTCCTGGACACTGGTCACTTCACCTGTGAGTCCTTGGCCCACTGTGTATTTTTTGTTTTTCTAATGAAGATCTTGTTTCCATGAATATCTTCACTTAATTATTTGATAGAATTATAACCAAGAGACCCATCTAAAGACTTTTCTTTCCCAACAACCTTCTCACCCCGAGTTTAATGTTTAAAGTTTTGTTTTTTACATTTGAGTTTTCTACCACCTGTAACGGCAGGAGGGGACAGATGTTACATAGAGCTCAGGCTAAAACGTCAGACAGGCATCTGGAAATTAAGACATTAACTAAAAGTTTTGACAGCAACTGCAAGAAAATGTATGACAACAAACCAATCATACAAACCATAGAGCTAACGCTAGTTTAATACTGCAGCTAACTCTTCAACACGTCAGCAGAAGTGAGACAAGTGTTTGTTAAAAACTTTGTAGTTGTACTACACACAGAATGAGATGTTCTACTACAGCCAATAATCAACCAACGGCTGGTTTTAGTCTCAGTCAATAAATCAGTCAACAAAACAAGGCAGAGTCATCTTCATCTTCAGTAGATACGTTACACAGTTTAGTTGTACACTGTTTTTGTTTACTCGTACAAAACTGCAATTCACCTAAAAAAACTTATTCTTTTACAAAAACGATTTCATTTCGATCAGTATAAATAAGACTTTCATGTTAGTTTTGTTCAACTTAATTTGTATTTTCACTAAATCTTTGTTCATCTGCCACAAAATAAGACACTTTTAAAGAGAACAAGATGTGGATACATCATAWCCTTCTGTCCAAACAGGTACCAGCATCACACAGTGTAGAAACAAATGTTGTGTCATTGTGTTCATGCTGCTGTGTCCCAACAACCGCCCAGTGAGGGCTTGGTTTCCAGCCTTCTGAGGCCCACACCAGCTGTGTTTCCATTCACCAGGAAAATRYRMAAATTACAATTTACAAAATAAATTTGCTCAATGGAAACACGTCAATTTAGAGAAAAGTTACGTTTTTCGACAAAATGTTTTTGCACAAGGATGAGGTGGTTTTTCAGCCGTATCTAAATTGA